GTGAGGCTGCAACTTATTTTCACCACAACAAATATGAAGAAACCCAACCTGCTGAATCATGTCAAACGTGTGAGATTCACACTCACCTGAAGTTGTGCAAGAACTGTGAAAAGGTTTCCACTCTGCCCGCCAGCGGCACGATGATGTTTATTACCATTCCAGATGTTTCTACAGATGTGCTCCTGACTTTCATTAAAGGACCAAAAGGCCTGAAGAGCGTGACGTGACGGAAGCTGCTGGACTCCTCTTTGGCAAAGAAGAGTTCATAAAGTGTCCCCTTGTCCCGCTCTGTTCTGTACAGGCCTGAGAAACAACATCAGCTCCAGTCAGAATGATGCATTACTTAATAATACACTAAGACGCTGTCATTGTTGGTCTGACGGTTGTGTACCTACTGGTCATCTACCACAGTGCGGGGTGTATTGTACTATATATACAGTATATCCTAATGCAAGTAATTTAAACATTTTATGTGCAATATTATTGTTATTGTTATTAACAAAAACCTAAGCAGGTCGAGTTTTTTTACGTCATAGAGATTCTCTCTTTTTCTACTTCAGATACATGAAAAAAGAAAAGGTATTAAGTAAATATAATCAACCACCAAAAGGTTTCCAATTTTTCATGGCTGAGATATGAATGACAGCAGCCGTTTTAGTGCTGCACTCATATTACATTCTGGTTTAACACAAAGTTGATGGTTAGTGCCGTCCAGCTATGTTTCTACCTCTGACCCAGACACAGCAGCAGTGAAGTCTGTTCCATTGACAGAGAACCACCAGGCATTACAGAGGTGTAAAATTCCTGCACTGTGGAACCAGTATGTGTGGTTGTCAGGTCTTACCCTCAGTGAAGTGAACCTCTGTGTAGGTCTGTCTCTGCATCGGTACGTCGTCTTCAATAACGTCCTCCTCATCAGGATTGTTGATGATGTCCAGGGCAGCCTCGATGACCTCCACCAGCTCGTCCCTGCGATCTTTGCGGACAGGTTTCTCCTCTGGGTGTCGCGTCAGGCCCATCTCCAGCTGGTATACCTTAGAAGAAGTGAAACTCTCAAAGGGTACCAGGGCATACTCGCTGGGTAGACGTGCCCCTGTGTTGACCTCTGCCTTGTCAATCTGGGAGTGCAGGTACTCCAGAAGGTCTCCTGGTTCTTGGTCTTTAGCCTCAGACAGACCCTGCACCCCTGGCAGCTCCTTCTTGTCCTGTAGCAGCTTCAACTTGTCGCTCATTTCCTGAAGCTCCTGCTTCAGCTGGGCAATCTGACGCTTCAGACTAGCGGCGCGGTTCAGATGGCGCTCTTCCTGTTCCTGCAGCAGGGCCTGGTAATACTCCTTACTGTAGGAATCTCCTGCCGGGCCGGGCAGGACCAGGCTGACATCTGCGGGAGGAGTGCACTCCAGCAGGTATGCAAAAAGGAGCAGCACCAGCAGCAGGAGGAGCCCCAGGAAGAGCCAGCGGACCCGGCCCTGGAGCGGCAACCCCCGCCTGGGCATCACGCTCACATACAACGCTATAGCCTGCAAGTCTGCATCCTACGGTGATCTGCTTGTGCTGTTCATCAGCTCAGAGATTCAATGGACAAGTCATGTCATTTTATTGTGAAGTTTTTTCTGTCCTTTGGTTCTGTTTAAATCCATGTCACCTAGAAAAAAAGAACACAAATATACAATAAATAATGAGTGTCTACATATTTTTGGTCGTTTTTATTTACATATATAAAACACTTGTAACACAACTGTCTTTTATTGTTAATATTCGTATGATCATTTCATGCAAACACGCAGGCACGCACACAATAATACGTTCTTGTGCATTCGTGTATTGTGAAAAATAGTATAACATGTTCCTATCAACAATAAAATAAACAATTAAGCTAAAGAATGAGAGACATAAAGAATTACGCTCACCTGGATTGACTTCGCTAGCCCATGGAGACTAGCTCTCCGCTACAAACAGTTTAGAGGAAAACTGATCTATAGCAACTAGCAACGGAGTAAACAACTACTTCCGGTTAAACAACACCCTCTTCAAAATAAGAGGAGCAATCTCTAAAACAAGTTCAAACTACGGACACGTGGGCTTTTTCAACCAACCAATATAAATGCTGTTTTAATAGTCTTTTTTTATTTACTTTTATAAATGTAATTGTGAATTTCCCTAATGTGATAAGAATAAAGGACTACTTCATTTTTCTAAACCCCCACACATGTAAATACAAAAACACGCTCACACACACATATTTAGTCATAGTGCTCATGTGTCAAACATTTTAATCTGATAAAAATTATTGAATGCATTGTACATGTTCAATTTAAACACCCTAGTAATTAGGGTGTAATAGTTAAGGGGAAGCTTTATATTCTAAGCTAAGGCTGAACTTAAAAACAATGCAGAGAACATGGAAAGATGGAAATCAATGATTTGCTGTGGCAACCCCTGAAAAAAAAGGGACAAAGCCGAAAGAAAATGAAGAAGTGCTACGTATTATGGTGCTCTGAAGTCCTAGATGATTCATACTGCTCAGCAAGTATTGTGGAACTTTTATACTCCATCATCTTTTCAACCTTCCAGACACAAAACACTAAGAACACAGTTCACTCGCTGCTGCCTACAGCACATTGAGTGCTGCTGTTCTTCTTCCATCCTGGCATCAGAAAACTTCTACACTCACAGGTGTAAATCTGTCTCTGCACAGTGTGTAATAAAAAGCACCGGGGCTCTGAGTGTTTAGTGCCAGAATTGAAAGCCACTGCCCCAAGATGAAAAAAAAACACCTACCGTGTATAGATCAATTAATGTTTATAGTTTGAGGAAAAAGGTGAATATATTTTCTCAAGTAAAAATAGATTTTCCTCATTAGAAATCTAGCACTCCCAACTCGTTGATATTTTTATTCTAGATGAAGAAAGTCTTTCACTTTTAAGTTTCACCTGATTAAAAGAATATAACAATCACTAATTTAAAAAACATATAAAGTAATATTTTGGAGTGTCTTGTGACACACTGTGTTCCTAAAATTTAGAAGTGGAAAAATGGAAGTTGTATCCAAAGATGTAAAGTTAACAAATACAGATTTAACTTTTTTCACTATTTTATTTGCCTCATCAGGCCTGTCTTTTAACTATGTTTTGGCAAAATATGATTATATATAATAATGATATAATTACATTTTTGCAGCTTTAATTTGACCTGTAAATATTACAGTTTCTGAAATCGTATTTAAAAGGGTTAAATTCATGATATTAAAAACATTAAATTTACAAAATATTTTGAAACCATTTGTTCTACATTCTTGATAATATAAACTTCTATCGCTCAAGAACAGTACAGTCGAAATGCTAATCAGTGCTTAGCTCACTGATAATGCAGACCTTATTTCCTGTAGATTTTTATTTTGGTGAATTTGAATCGGATGTTATCACGGTACTGCAGCGACCTTGACGATGTTCGGACAATCACTAGGTTTTCGTGATATTTCGTAGCTGTTCGCCAGCCAACAAATGACATGTACCGGTGTAAACCAGAGACTCACCCCCAGCTGTACACGTCCATGTCGGTCTAAGTTCTCAGTCATCAGTTTGTTCCACGCTCAAAACAACAGCAGCGGCGTCAGCGGCTCAAGACAGTGCACCGAAACGCCACGGCGCAAAAGAAAAGAGTGGGTCGAAGTCTACTTCCGGTCATCCAACAACCAATAGGAGGCCAGGAGAGTGAGTCGTCATCAGACGACGTAGATATATTTTGTTTGTAACGCAGACTGTGGCTATTAAATTATTTTTTTAAAATTTATTTATGGGTAAATTAAACATTGTTGTAATACAATAAAACCACGAGGAGTATCAGAGTTTGATTTAAATAGTGTTGTTACACTTGTTAATAAACCTTAATCTCACATTCTTTCTCAGTATTATTTTTGTTTATGACACAAATTAAACCACAGGAAGTGCAATTGTCTGTCTTAATGCACATCAACAAAGATTTAATTTCTTTCTCATTCATGCTGTTTCCTGTGTTAAGAAACCCTCCTTATTTCTGCCTATCCTGTACATTAAAGTTGTCTTTGTCTTTGGGATCCAGGTTTTTAAGATTCGATCACATTTGCAAATATTGACACCGTCAAAATTGGACATGTCTGTGATAATGATTGGTGTTAGTTGTTGTGTTATTAAATAGAGAAATTTTGTTTTCATTAGAAGCATAATGATAAAATGTACATATATTACATAAACATAGTTAAGTGGAGACAGACATTACAATTATTACAACGGTGCACTGAATAAACCAGGACATTGTCTAATGATGTTCTCTTTTAGTCCTTCATATATTAATTTGCCTTAATATTTTCTCTTATTGATGGCAGGAGTCTGATTTTTGCCTGCAATATGAGGAAAAGCTCTATAAAGCAAAGTCAGCTGTGTTCAAAGTCAGTTTTGTGTTATTTTTGCAGGACTGTTTGCATGTACATGACTGAAACTATTGGTCTCACCCCAAATACAACAGCTATTTTTAGCATTTATAATTCCAGTACTTTATTTTTTTGTTTTATCCTTATATTTTAGAAAAAACATATAATTAAAGCATAAAAGGTGGACAGATCACAGGTACAATAAACTTACAAACTACAAACTATTTAATTAATCCCATTGCTTAAATGCAACCTTCTTTTCTGTGTAAATATTAGTGTAAATATTATGAATAAATCCATATTATCCACATTTCTGGGAACAACTAACAATTCTTCAGCATATTAATTATAAAATGTTTTCTCGTATGCTGCTGCATTGATAAAAAACATTTAAGAATGCATTATTTCAAAATAGATAGAATAGTTAGACATTAGATTATCGATGGGAGATGCACAAACATACAACACATTTTAAGTGTTTATTATTAATTATAACATAATCAAATAATAACAACATAAGAATGGTAACACTCTGTAGTTTACATGATCATACTTTTCCCACAAAGACTTCACTACAATGAGTCAAAAAGTGACACTGTGGTCTGACATGGGAAACGGATACAATTTACAGTCTCATGTCCTTACGTCGCGTCAACACTCACTATTTGATATTTTTCCATGTAAAAAAAAGATTAATAAAAAGCGAGAAACTCCTTCACTGACACGTCTGTGTTACTTTTCTTTGGCAGCCACAGCTTTGAAACACACATTGGGTCTTTGACATTTTCAACAAGAGGGTTTTCTGACAGTAGAAACTTTACATTTTTCCAGTACGAGTTCAACTCTTCGCCCGTGGGTCTGCTAGCTCCCAGCTGTCTACAACAGCGATGGTAAAGACGTCCCCTTTAATTCCTGGGCTGGAATGAAATCTTCACAGTTGCACATCAACAAGTGGAGGCTATTGTAGAAGCGGCACAGGCACTTAAGAGACGTGGACACTGAAGTACAATCTGGTACACTAGTCATGCAGTGATACAACTTGGCCAACATGACCCCGGGAGGTAATAATTAACACAGTGAAGAGCAGAATGAAGCATGATCTATGTTGATCCAGCCAGTTTTGCAGCAACTTTAAACCTTGAATGCAACCCATGCAACAGAAATAAAAGGGAACCCACTTTAGCATCAGATGGTGTATATATATATATATATATATATACAGTCTTATAGAAATATATACATCTACCAATTAGTCATCTTTTCTACAGTGTCGCTTTGTCTTTAGCTATCAAGCTTGTCCACAGCTTTTGCGGGTGAAGGCAAAGCCATCCAGTTTGCATAAACACTATCATTGGCATATCTTGTAAAGACTGGATTAGTGGCATCATGTCTGTTGAGCGGTACCGGGCTCTTCTCGGGCCAGTTCGGGTATGACATGCCTAAAAACGAGAACATATCATTTTTCTGCACTCAGTGAAAAACAAACAGTGTGCAGACAGTAAGGCTCTCAAATCAAACTCTGTGAAACTTATGGATTTGTGTGGGCTGGTCTAAGTTTATTATTAGTGGTATCATTGTAATGGATCAAGGCTATAATGTGACTGATGTCTGGTGTCGCATGACTGTTAATAGTGCAGATGACAGCAAGCAGCGAGTAATGATGGTATTCATTACTTTTAGCCACTTGAGAGTTGAGTTGAAAAGCCTTACTGTTTCTCTGATCAGCATCCTGTCAGTAACTACAGATTATTGGCTAATGTACATTTAAAAAATCAGGACATTTAAGACAATCTGGAATTCAAACCACAGAGAGTGATTGATTCAGCTAGGACCTGTTTCAAATGTTACACACTGTCTCTCCAAATGCAAACGAATGGCCGAACGGCAAATATGGAATGTGATGGAATGGACAATGAACTATGTGCAAATGAATGTGGATGAAGCATGGATTAGAAGCAATGCCATATAAATAAAAATGACGGATATATATATATATATACTCAGTATTTACATATTTTGGTCAGCATTCATGTACATTAGAAGCAGGTCCAAATAAAAGAGAAAAAGGTCAAGACACAAGATCTTTTTT